ATACATATATATATATATATATATCTCTATTTCCTTGCTCTTCCAGAAGTAAATAAACTATGCTATAGTTACTATGCTATAAGGAAATAACCTCAGGCCCTCAGAACAGCAGAAATGGCATACTGGGATACCAAAAATGAGGAGCTTTCATTGCACATTTCAGTGCACACAAATGGGCACTACGTCTTAAACCTGCTAGAGGTTCAGGACGCCCCTGTAATTTATCTGTACCATAATCACCATGACCAAAAAAAAATTCTGGTAGAACTTAAGAAGGAAAGCACTGATAGTTACCTGTAGTTGAAAAAATTCCCCCAATAATGCCACAGAGCCTCACTAAGAACTGCCAAAAAGGCATGTGTTCTTCCGTCACCGTCACCATAAGTGAACTAATATCATATTTCATGAATATTCCTGACACCCCATGGCTGCCAGCTGCATGGTTAATTACTCTTTCCTGAAAGGAGAGAGAGAAACACAAGTTAGTCACTTCTTATTAGTCACAAAGAAAACAATCTTAATACATGTGATGACAAAGAGCTACTTAAACAGAGTTGGCAATCAACAGAAGACCAGGGAACATAAAGATAACTTTGGCCAGCACCTTCTAAAAGTCAAACATCGTTAAATAACAACTTACTTTCCTGGTCACTGGTCTTGTGCTGCATATCAGGCTCTGGTACTATTCTCAAGATTTGCTTACGTGGTCCTTTAAACAAGGATGTTTATAACTAGGTTGCTTTTGGTACCTATGAGGGTAAGTGCCACAGTCCTGGTCTAGCCCGTACACTCAAGCGCACTGGTATAATACAGTGCCCCAACTCTTCCTACTTTATGCGCTACTATTAATCACTTAAATTCCTGAAGGTCTCATCCTGATTTAAGTTGTTGAACAGCCTTAGCTATGGCAGTTTTCCCAGAGGGTGTATATAAATCTACATATTGCATCTAAGACTCATTAGGCTTCATCCTCCTTCTTCCTTGGACCATATCTCTAGATTCACATGCCACAGAGGATTTAATTGCTGGTTCTTAAAAGTATCAGGGAAGACCCTAAACTACAGTATATGACAATGGAAAATCAGCAGCTTAAGTTAAATTAGACCAATGCCATTTCTTCCCTCAGTGCACACTTATGCATATGCCATAATCCATTACTTTGATGGAAAAAAGTAAAAAGGAAAAAGATCAAAATTTCTGGGGTCTGAAAACTGAATACCAGTATCAAGCCTCTTTTCAAAAATTTTGTCAGTCAGGTCATTTCAGGCAACAGTCACACAGCAAGAAATACACCTCGATAAAAATAGTAACTAACTTGCCATGACTACCCTAAACAGATGAGATGCCTCAGTCCTAATCCAGTAACTTCTACAGTTTCTTCTCATTTGCCCAAATTCTTAAACCAAAAGACCCCAAAGAGGGGAGTGTGGCTGCTATAAATCTCTTACTTTTTAAAAAGGTTTTAGGAGAAAAAAAACTCAACACAATCTTAAGTTTCTTTCAAAAGTTTGCTATCGTTTTCTTGTTAGTGAAAGGTGTTGATGAATGCACTGCCAGGTAAGTCTGGCTGAAAATACGCAAGGGCAGCAGAAAAGAACATAACTGACTGAAGACAAACTCAGCCATGTCTAGGCTAATGAGAGTAGAGAAGACAGACAAGCAAGACTGAACAGAAAAGCAATATATCACAGCTCCATTCACCTGTAGATTTAATAGTCTGTGCTCAAAAACCATGCAGAATACAGTACAAAATAAAAAGCAGAATACCACTTTGGAAAATACAGACTACCAGTCAGCTAACGTTGACATAAACCATATTGTTTCTTTTGCTACCAAACCAAAGTAAAAAGGATGACAAAATAATGTATCTGTTATGATAACAGGTCACAGAAACTTTGCAATGGTTAAAAAAACAAACAAACAAACAAAACCCCCAAACCAGAATGCTTTCTATATTTCAAGAGCATAACAACATTCAGCATTAGAGGATGGATGATCAGGCATACTAAGAAGGAAGAGAAGACTGAAGGCAGTTAAACAGAACCTTGCCATTGGCAAGGGACAAAAAAATTTTTTTGTTTGTTTGTTTTCCTCTATTATTTCCTAAGCCTTATTGGTCTTCTGAGGTCAAATGGTAAAAAAAGAATACGAAGTTAAACAGAACACCCACAACTCCACCCTCAAAAGATACATAATTCTTTTTCCGCAAACCATTTTGGTCTGCTTCTAGCTTCTACTGCTGCAGAAGATTTAACTGTTAGTTGCTAAAACCTAGTGAAAATAACTTTCCCTGCATCAGATATCTCAGATATCAGTGAAGCCTTGCTAGAATTAAATCTTTTTAACATAGATAAACACAGTATCTCAAACATCAACAATAGTGGAGATGATTCTGCCCACACCTTTCAAGCTCTGCTTCCCAGTCTGTTCACCACTGGCAATTAAACCTCAATGTATTCAAGTTTTAGTCATGGCTAGCTGACCACCTCTTTCCAGGTCTGCATATGTGCCTACTCTTATAAAATAAATGCACTAAGTTGTTCAGTGTTAACTGTTCTTAATAGCCTTTCACCTGGGTATTTGGTTTCCAAAGATAAACACAAACAAGCTTTACAGGCAACAGGGCTACCCACTGAGACAGCGAGAGCAAGCAAGTATGTAATGCCACTTTACCTCTACTATTCACAAGCTTTTCTCCTACGCAACTGTGTTGCAACTTTCATAAAAAATACATCCCCACAAAAAAAAAGAAAGAGCTAAAGCTGCACATTTAATTGACAGAAACCATCTTTACAGCAGAGGGAGAGAAAAATTTAATACAAGATGAAAAAAATGCAATAAGGAGTAGGATAAGCAGTTGACGGATGTCCAGAAGTTTAAGGAGTGCCTTAGTTGTTGCAGAGATTGTGCAGAGAAAACATGACACAGATTGCTAGACCAGCAGGCGATGGGAGTATATTGCATTATGAAATTACTCTTCATTCCTTTCTTTATTCCAGCTTTCATGAGTTTTAGAGCAAACCTTTCCCTTCAGCGATCTGCATTTCCCAAGGTGAACCCCAAGACATCACCTCTATCCTACTTCCCTTAGCTATGTATTTTTCAGATGCACAGCATGGGATTATGAGGAAAAAGATTTTTCTCCCTTGGAGAACACCACAACACTGTACTACAGTGAACTGCCATTCTAATTTCTGAATTTCCTTTCAACCCAAGGCTTCTTTCTTACCTCTTACTTTATCTGTCATTTTTAATTAAACTTTTCACAAAGATTTTTTTCTTTGGCTTTTGAATAAAAGATCAAAAGAGAGTTCAGTGTCTGGAAACAAGACACGTAACTGGTAGACACAGGCCTTTTTCTTATTTACAGCAGCCTTTAAAATCAGTACCTTATGATTTGTCCATGTACTACTTACGATTTGTCCATGTACTATGCTGCAATAACTACTTTCTTTATGTGTTCACAATTAAAAGCCTCTCCAAGCCCAGAAGTGCAAGCTCTCTAGTCTGGAGAATAATTAAAGTTGGTGGTTCAACAAAGACAGCTGAGAGACAGCAATGCTTTCTGTGTGATTGGTTTTTCATACAAACTACCTTTGTTTCCATTTCTAACACTGCACAACCAAGTTCATGACATTCAAGTGAGCTGCATTTTTTGGTTTGCTTCCCACATGGTAGCTAAAAAGCTAAAGGTGTATTAAATACTTGTAAAGCTACACACAAGATTACAGACCTAAAACTTACAGGATTTTACCATCACCACCACTACTAGCATCCAGTGAGGTGGAAATGACTGGATATCTATCATTAATTCTAATATCAGACTCCAGATCTACGGATGCAAAACACTAATGCAAGAAGTTAGCATGTGTAAATATATATTTTACCATCAGTATTACATTATTTAAAGATAAATCTAGTGCACTGGAACATTCTACAAAGAGTCTCTTCACACTAGAGTTTTCAAAACCACGGTACAACTAAGTCTCCATTTTCACATTTGAGCTTTTGTTAAGAACAACCACTATCAGATTTTTCTCTGCATAGTTTTCTCTTACTTCTACTTACCCTTTCTGTCACTGAAAATTGATGAGTTTCTGCTGAAATTTTATAAGTATGGAGTTTGGTTGGCACAACTGTGATAAAATATTGGAACATCTCGTTGTCTAGAAGAAAACAAATCTCACTGTTGAACAGAGTCAAAGACCATCTGAGACATTCACAAATAAATCAAACAAATAATATTTAAAATAGTTAATCAGCTAAGCCATTTACACTAGGGACATTCTTCAAGGAGTCCCAGCACTGCCAAGACTACTTCAGCACCATCTGCATGAACGAAGTTAGTTTCCATGGGCAAGGCCTATGTCACATTTGTACTCAGAGAAATTTACATTTTACCCACATAATGAAAAGATTCATCAAGGTCAGGCCACTCAAAGCTTCAAATGAAATGCATAGATAGTGTTTTCCAGGACACTAGAACTGAACAAGTTTCACACAGTCACAGTTTGCACATCGACAGTGGTTTGAATAGATTTTAGCCATTGAATTGTCTATAGAATGCTGGAAGCCCTTCTAAACTGGTTATGTTTTTTCTCTTGATTAGACAGACTTCTACAGAATTCTTCTAGAGCAATCAGCACGCTTATGTATTTATGATTGCTCTGTCTTCGTGCAATTCCCTAAGAGAACAAACACTGATAGACTGAAGCAAATTGTTTCAACTACCCCAAACCATTCTGGCTGGAACAGCCAATGGACTGACTGACTTTGAGACAACAGCAGCTCTAGAAGGTTCTGGGGATCACTCTCATGAGGAATACAAGTCAGAGGATAAGGCGGAGGTAGCTCTGTAAAGTAGGTTACTATACTCCTTTATTTATACAGGAGGAAATGAAGTGATACACAAACCCTTCCTGTAGCAGCCCCACAAGATACAACGTGGAAGAGACAAACCAAATACAGGAATAAAATCCAAGACTCCTGATGCTATTATTTTTAAAACAAATCAGACTCATTTTTCCCCATTATGACAACAATCAGATCTATGAACCTCCACTGTAGCATACTGCTGCAAAATTCTTCGCAGTATGTTCAGACATACTGTAACTTCAACATAACACAAATCTGGAAGAAACTGCAAATCAACTTCAGCGAAACAGCAAAGTACAGTGCTACTGATATTAAGAAGAAATTGTCCATTTAAGATAACTGTAGATAACTGAACAATGCATTGGTCGCTACCATATTTAGCAGGACATGCTGTTTGTAAATCACAACATTCATGAAATATGATAATATTTTAAATGTAATTATTGGAAAAAATATAGAAAACAAGATGCTTTTTTAAACACACAGCACTTACGATCTGATGCTATTTTTTCTGTTCCATCCAAAGGATTAATAATTCCTGGAATAAGCTCTCCAAATGACAAATGATCTATTCTATGAGAGAAGTTATAGGCTGAAAGACAATACAGAGGAATGAAACAACATTTTAAAACTATGAGATTCTGTACTCTTCTCAGAGAAAAAGATGCACCTATTTCTCACATTGGAAAATGCATTAGTTAGAATATTTCACACACCGGCGTGCATTGCATTGGATTTGTGCCTGTGACTACATCAATACATCTACATACATGTTTCAAACAAAATTCAAATCCAACATATTTAACAAAGAAATTCAATTTCTCTAGAAAAGAACTTCTAAAACAAATTATAACTCTGTCTGAATCAACCCTGGAGCTGAAGAGAGTTAAAATTTCATGACAGCAAATTTCTAGTTGGTCAAATACCAAAGTTATTCTACAGTTCAGGTTCTTGTATGTAATGGTATTAAAAAGACTAAAATTTTGTGAATGAAATGTACAGATGAAGCATAAGGCAAAGGCAACTACCAAGTTACTACGTTGTCTGATTTTGCAAACGTATTTAAGCTCTGTAATATTATACACTTGTGTTGACATAAATTCATGGGCAGACATTTGGAGGTTTAATCAACACCAAGTTCGTTTTTCCACAGTAAGTCACCCTTGCCTCACATTAAGTACGGCAACAACATACATTCAGTATCTAGACTCATAATCTCAAAATGAAGTTTCTAAGCACAAAGGTCAGAAATTTTTAACCTTATAAAAACAGATTTTGCAGGAAATAGCTAGTTTGGACTGAAATACAGGAATTTTGTACGGTATCTGTGTTACAACATAATACATCTGAGATTCCTGTGTTATCATTACTGTAGAAGCAACCTAAAGACAATACTAAATGTAAAGATAGTGCTAAATGTATGAAAGTAAGTCACTACTGACTCATAACATTGCAAAGAATATTCTTCACTTCCTTCTACAATGCAATTCCCCAGCTAGAGCATCTTTAGAACAGCAACCTATGTTAACATATGAATTAGGAGACAGCAGTCTGAATGAAATGATACTCATTCGTATGGAGATGATAGAAAGAACTTACACTCGTGGCTTACAAGGGCTGCCAAGTGAGCATGGCCTCGAGGGTGTGGTATTGCCCTAAAGAAAGCAAGATATGTTTTATGAAAAATTTGTTAAATGAATCCACACAAAAGACACAGCTTTCCCAAACAGGACTATATAGAAAAATTACCTCTCCCCCTCTATTTCAATAAATACTTTATATATATATGCACATATTTTTAATATATATAACATATATATGTTTAAATATATATTACATATATGTTTTACAAACATATATATAAAAAAATTGTGTGTATCTATATTAAAAAACAATGACATTTTTATTACTGCTAAGTACAGACAGCCTGAATGACAAGGTACAGGAATTCACGAAAACCCTCTTACACAAAATTAATGTCTTGCATTTTTAGAAACGTCAAACACACATCAAGTCACTAGGCTACTAGAAGAGCCACCAAGGGCTACCACATGAAAAGCTGCAGGACTGCTCAAGTGACTACTGAAAACTTTACCGTACTTGTTCTATGACTACGCAAGTTAACTACGCTCTGTATTTGCTCCCTGACTAAGCAAGTGTCCAGGTCTGGACACTTGTTTGTAGACCTGCAAAGAAAGTACAGTGCAGAGGCTGGTAACAGTGCAAAGAGGGGGGGAAAAAAGTATGACTCTCTCTGGAAAGTAAATCAGTCTCTCAGCCACGCTTCATACCTACCAGCCCAGCCAATAACGCAGGAAAAAAAATTAAGTTAAATCATTACCAAATGCATGTAAGTTTTGAACAAACAAAAAGTGGAGAAAAACAATGAGATCAGTCAAGATAGGACTACAGTAAATAACCAGGCAATAAGGTACGAAGGCAGCCAGGGAAAAAAGCCATAAAAAAAAAAAAAACTACAAGAAGAGAAGGAGCAACTTAGCAGAAGTACAAATGTAATGATGAGCAAAAGGAAGCGAAGGAAAGCAAAAGATTATGCAGGGTTGCAGAACTAGAGACAGGAAGAGAGAAGTGATGGCAGTACAGATGAAAGGCTGAAATGATCAGCTCTGAAAAGGGCTTAAGGAGTTGGACATCCAGGGGCAAATCAGAGAGGTCGTACAAGACCAGAGAGAAGCGACATTTGGAGAAATATCCACAAAAAGACAGCAGCTGGAATTACGTGTGGATAAATTAGAAAGTACAGTTGCATGCCAAGATCTCTGGTGACAAGAGGTGGCAGGAAGACAAGTGAGGACAGCAGAGCTGGAGAGCACAGAGAAAAGTTAACACAAGTTTGTATGCAGTGTATATAAGCTAGTACCATTGCTGAAGCATATCAGAAAGTCTCTCCTCAAATCAAGATAAACTGGCATTTAGCTCCCTAACTATGGTTGTATAACTATGTTATCTCAGCACTGAAATGGCATGTATCTACACTTCATCCATGTTAGTGAACTGAGTACTAACAGAAAGGAGAAGTTTGGACAGGCCCAAAGAATGGAAGCAAGTACAAGCAATCCACTCCATGTCTTACACATACAGAGGACCTATTTTCAAGAGTTTTCATCCTGTAAGACACTGGAATTCATAACCACTACATTGCACGCAACAATGCACTGCACTGCATTGTTTTAGTAACTTAGCGAAGAAATTTGTTTTTAACTGTGCAAGAAAAGATACCACATGGAAAATAATACCAAGCATGTGTATGGGAAGGTTAATAAAAAACAGTTATTAACTCAAAAGTGTAAAAGCATACACAGACATATACATGCATGCACTATATATAATGTAGAAGTCAATTCTTTTTTATTTTCAGGAATTGAACAGAACATACTTGCCCACAGTTATGTGAAAGTTCCCTGCCACTTTATTGACGTAGAGATGACCATGAATTCTGCATGCATCTGGAGACTGTAATGAATTATCTTCCCTGTTTAAACAAAAACAACATAAAGAGTACTTGAGAATATTCACTAACAGAAATAACAGCAGTACAGTTAGATTTCTCTTCCCTAGCATAAAGATACAGCATTATCATCTACCTCTCCTTATCGTATTCTTCTGGAATTATAGCACGGATGGTGGAAGGGAAGGAATCTAATAAAGGTCAGCCTGATGAAACCAATAAGCTTTTGTTCGTATTTGTATTCAGAGATCTGGCCTACAAAGCTAACTTGTGATACCTGAACACGTGAACATAAAATATAAGGCTGTAAGTGTATCTTGCTGCCCTGGGGATTTTTTTTTTCCCAATTACTTCTACCAAAATTGGTTTGTTGGGAAAGTTTTAATGCTACAATGAACATAACGAAATATATTAGTCCCGTTAAAAACACTGTAGCAAGAACAGCTTTCAACATTTATTTTTAATGAAACCTTCCTCTTCCCACACTTCTTGGGATGTCTGCAACTCAGAACATATTTCCAAATCTGCTCCTTAGAGGGAGATTAAATAAAAAAATAAATTTTTTTTAAACACATCTCAAGCATAAATACCATCTCAAACACTGCACTAACAAGTATCACAGAGGCACAGAAGGACTTAATGAATCTGAAGACACTAACTAAATCAGCAAAAAGATTTTCTGAGCCCTCTTTAGCCTTGCCTTAGGAAGAAAGGATGTATTTAGCCCTCAGAGAGATTACCACACGGAAAGTGCATACAGCGTTTTTGGTGTTTGTTTTGTTTTATTTATGGCTGCTTGTGTGGGGTTTGTTTGTTTGCTTTTAAGGGGAAGGGAATTTCAGCTTTCATGTAGAAAGTGTTTTCCCCTGGGGAGGGGGGAGGCGGAAATCACATAGCATCTAGATTCAGGCAGACTAAGCCTTCTATGCATTAGTCTCTCAGCATTTTGTGGGTAGCTGGAATAAAGTGTAAACAGTAAGGTTTCTCCACACAATTTTAACAGTGCTATCTTTGACCAGGGCATTTACTAACAAAACACATTTTTATTCAAAGGTTGATTGTTTTAAAACTGTAAAGTATTAAATCACAGCTAATAGCAGGACTGTTTTTTAAAAGTTGCTGGACAGAAAGACATTCTTTCATTTAAAAAAACCCCTCTTGTTTAGTATTGCTTTGGCATTACTAATTCACATTAAAAAGGAAGCATCAGATAAAATGGACTAAAAATGTGTGTTTATGTATTTATATGTGTGTCTGTATTATGTATACATATATATGTATAAATACACACACAAAACCTAGAAACCTTCTCCAGGTTGGAAACCCCAGAGGTTTCCATAGAACAACAGCTCTCAACAGCAAGTATCAAGTTAACTATTTTAAAATGCAATAAAAAGCAGTAAGGTCTTCTTTTCTTAAAACCTTATATTCGGGGAGTGGTGGGGGGGGAGAGGAATTTAACCACAATAAAATGTGAAGTCTAATTAAACAGGATATGGGGAGAGGGGAATGACAACACAACATCCCGATTTTTCTTACCGTGGCGGCAGTGCTGTAGAAGCACTTTTAAAAGCACTTTTGAATATCACATCTTGAAGAGAGTGTTCTTCCTGCAGCCTACTCTGAATTAGCTGCAGCATCCTAAAGATTACACAGACAAGTATGAAAGCATGCAACAGTAAAACAAAAAATAACTTCACAATTAATTATCACCTTCAGTTGCAGGTTATAAATCGAGATGTTAGCAAGGTTCACGTCAGTATTAAAGTGTTACAATAAACTTTGAGAATGATATTTTATACAGAGCTTAAAGCTCTGATGCTCACAGCAGTGTGTTACCAAAATGAGCCAGACTCCCAAATAAGCTTCAGGTTCTATTACAAGACTATCAGTATAGTGACCACACACATAACCAAGCTATCCTGGTTTAAATGATAAACAGTGTGTCAATTCAGTTATACGGAAGCCTCAAACTCATTTGGTTTCCTAAGAACGTGCCAATTTGTTACTATGGTTCAGCTTTGACTTGATATTTAGATATCAAGCTGTGTTACACGTCTGAACCCATAATTAAAACTTGTGCTACCAAGCATTCATTTAGAAACATAAGTTGAGTGAGTCCATACATCTTGGCTTGCAACTGCATGACCCAATTCCACAAATAAGTCCAAAGCCAATTTTTTCCATAACACAGATCTCAAATCATGAGAAAAGCAAAGCAAATTAATATCTTTTCACAGGTTTGCACTCTTAAATTACAAGCAGGAGCTGTTAGACCCAAGACATAATTCCGTCACATGACTCTGGTGTACCTCAAAGTCACTTCCAGTACAAATAATTCAAACCATAGGGATGCATCTCAGTGCTTTACCTTTGCCATTCTTTTTGTTGTGGGCTGAGATCAAATACTACCTGAAACAAAAATAACACATCTAATAAAACGTGCAGGAAGTGTTGAAGTCCCATGCAGGAAACCCAGAAGAGAACTGGGGTGTGAGAAGGGGTGGGGAGTTACAATCAACTTCACACTTGGTACCTTACGAAAGGACTTTGCACTTTAAATAGTACATTTAGTGTTCAAGTATGGAAATCTCTGTCCCTTCCCACCCTGAATTACTCGCTTGCATTTATAACTTCAGCATCTTTTACTAAAGCTCTCATAACTTGAGTCAGCAGTCTCTGCCTTTCTAGCCTTTGACTAACATGAGCTAGAAGAAGCAGTGAGTGGCAATTTAATTCTAAGTGATATAACTGACATGCATGGTTTTGATGCAAACAGCAATGAAACAAGCAGAGGAGCAATCTTTGAAAGACAAGGGTCCAGGTGCAGATTGTTTATTTCTAGGGTCATCCCACCCTGAGCACTTCTTTAAGACAAGCTACCAGACCTGCTATACTTCAGTCAGCATAAGAATATCACCAGTAACATCTGTGCACCAAATTCAGATCTATGTATCGTTAACACTGATGTACTCCAGGCAGTAAATTCAATTGCAATTAATGCTCAAATGCACCCAGAGCTACGGCCAAAAGAGATCAAGTATGGGAAGTTTCCTCTTTCTAAGATTATAATCATTGGGGCAACTGCTCGCATGCAGCAGCTACAGCAGTGCAGAGATGACTGTCCAGACAAAAAGAGGAAATGTTCCAAGGAGAACAAACAAACAAAACCAAACTCCCTCCCCTTCCTGAGCGCGTCCTTCCATTCAGCCATCTCCTCCTGCTCACACACACAAGTAGGAATTTGGACAAAACTGTTATAATTTGGGCTATGGTTCAGTTATTAGAGAATGTAATAATTACAGCAGGAAGTTGCATTCTCTAATAGGTTTTCTGTAAATGATAAATTACTTTCACACAGCATAATTACTTCAAAGCTTATTGTATTATGCAAGCAAAACCACTTTAAGAGCATAGGCTTACACAGTTCCAGAGCCTTCAGTTCACAATACAGAAATTAAAAGGAAACTAACCCAATTTACGATCTTTAATGCCATTCCATAATATAAGGATATCATGGTGACTTTCTAATCATAGTATTCTTCCAGTTAAAAAGCAATTACATCAATTCTTTTTATGAGAGCTCCGATAGTTTTACTTCCATATCAAATACTGTTAGCATTTATCCCTTGAATTTGCACATGTAAAAATAACTAGCTGTAGAAATCACTAGCTTGTTATGCAGCACTGATCCGGGAGTCTGCTGTATACAAATCTGCTGTATTTGCAGAGCGTGAACACACAGAAATCCCATTGCTAGCCTTTTTCCCTAGCAGATTCCTGGAGTAAGCACTGCAGACCTCACTCATGGATGAGACAATACTTGGGGAGGTTCTGCGCAGCCCAATTGTGGGGGAAAAAATACAAGCAAGCAAGCCAGCCCAGTAGTGCTCCGCATCAAGTAAAGAGCAATTTCCTTTTTAAATAAAAGGGTAAGAATCAACTTACTGGTTCATAGATTAGCCCATCTGCAGAGGCGACCATTGTTTCTGCTAAATCCAGAACATCAGCCCCCACATCTATTTCAAATAGGGAGAAAAATACTAAGAGTCATACAGATGATCATAAACAAACAAAAAAGAAGTTCAAGTTGAAATGAAGTTTCACAGTACAGCAGTAAACTTTCAATACAAGTTACTGTTCCTTGTTAACGAAGTCCAAACCAAAAGAAAAACAGATCTGGCAAGAAGCAGATTACTGGGAGGTAGGGGGAAACCACAGAATCCTAATTTTCAACCTATCATATCAGAGTATCATCAACTGATGCACAGTGACCAGAAATAAAATTTTCAGATTTGCAGTATTTTCTCACTGATGTAACACCTTCAGAGATGTCGCATGAACCACATACACAAGCTTTCTAGGATCTGCTATGCATAAATATTTTTTCCTGTTTCACAAGCACTGAATCCAAAACAAGACTGGTCAAAACAGAGGACAAAGTTTCATTTATTTCTCAAATATAAAAAAAAAATTAAAAAATCAGATTTTTCAAAATTGTTTATGCTAACTGGAAAATAATTGAAAAAGTTTAAAATAAATTTTAAGAGTAAGAAGGGATGACTTGTGAATTAATACTTGCAAGACAAACACAAATTGTATGGTACTGATGTACCATACAATTAATGCAAGGTTTAACCTAGCCAAAAAAGCGAGTCTTGAAGATTTGCTTGCATTCCTGGTAGAAGTAGTATTCTCTCTCTTTCTCAGTCCAGGACAACAAAAACCAGTCCATACAAATAATGGGTCATTACCTAAATGATGTCAAAAGAATAGTAAGCATTGCCTTTAAATGGAAGGCACCCAGATGTTCATCAGGAGGATGAAATTACCTGATGGTTCCGGTATTGTTAAACAATAGATCAGGTTAATATTTGCCAAGTTCATAAATAAATAAACGTGATAAATTC